ATACACATGTGAATGTAGACATGCATCCCTATATATGCACCCATGCATGTACACACATACATACATACATACATGTAGAGAGAGATGGAGAGAGAGAGAGAGAGAGAGAGAGAGGGTGAGAGACAGAGACAGAGAGAGAGAGAGAAGAGAGAGAAAGAGAAAGAGAGAGAGAGAGAGAGAGATCCGATACAGGTTAAGTAGTTAAATGCATTACTTCAACTGCACCTGCTGTCGTTGGTTTTTGGCTCCCTAGCCTGGCCTGGTCTGTTAAGGCCTTGCCCGTCAACATCATGTCAAGCGCCTCAGCCTGAAAGTCAAGCGGCAGAGCCGGAGAGAGTCTGAGGTCGCATTGCTTTGGCACCTCGTCCAAGTCCTCTGGCAGCCTCAAAGTTCCCGAGGAAGGCTCCGGTAGTTTCACCTCCTGAGGGTGCAAGGAGAAGGTGCATGTGACCTGCACGAGACCCCAGAAGAATTGCCAAGCCTTTTGCTCGCCAAGATTCAAGCCGAGTTTTTCTGCCTCGTTTTCTCAGAGTGGCTCTGCCTTGCTCCAAGACCTGACGTGGGACCCACCAAGTTCTATCTCTCGAGGGCGCAGCGTACACATTTCAGACTTGGCTCATAGAACTTGAAAAACACTTACGAGTGCAAGTGTTGCGAGTGACATTCTGTCAGGGCACCTCAAAGTTCTCGACAACGCCGTCCTCCTTAAGATCCACCTGTGCTTACCAAGACGCCAGGATGACATGGGTTTCTGGTTGGCTCGGTACCTCTGAAGGTCTTTCTGCTGCTATCCACTGCCTGCAGGCGCGGGCTGCACCGTTGAACCCGGCAGACGTAAGCATAGCTAGCCCTTGCGATAAAAGTCTCGCAGCAACTTACTTGGGGATTGCCTTGCCTCAGGAGGAGCCTCGAGGCAGCCTCATTCAACCTTTCTCTCCTCGAACACTGTTTGGCGATCAGTGCTGCCGACTCTATAACTTTCAGACAGGATCCACACAGTGGCTCCACAGCAATGCCCATGTCATTTGGATTTGTCGTTGCCGTGACACTGTCACAGCTGTTACTGTTAGTCTGGCAGGTGCCCAACTTCCAACCTGTCTGATGGCACGAGGGTGTGAAGGCCTTACGTCGTTCACAGTTCTCCCCACATTTCTGCGATGTTCCATGATGTTCCTGTTGCAGTGCAGGCGGCGTCCTCCCGTCGACGGTGCAGAAGAAAGCCGCAGAAGACACAGAGAAGGAGCAGTTGGAATTGGCCCTTGCATTGCGTTATTTACCGTTCGGTACACCCTGGAGCTGATGCCTCTGCACTTCACAGAGTCGGGCCTGGCAGGAGTTGGAGGGTGGAAGCTTCGCTTCTGAAAGCTCCTACCTCGCTTCAGAACCAACAAAAACGACACCAGGACGCCAAGTGCCGCGCACCTCCGGACGCTGTGCCGGAGAAGGCCGGCGGGACATGGCTGGAAGCTGCTCCTAAGACACCCAGTCACATGTCACATCCAGTTTCATGACGCAAAAAGGCTACGGGTCCTCCGTACGGCCGCTGTGGCACGCGTGGGATAGGACCCGTCGTGATCCTGCGTGGAGGCCGTGCCGGGCCGTGAGGGAACGGTGCTTTCCAATCTCAATGGCTTGCCTCACCCTCCGCACGAAGCCAGTCTTCAGATTGACCTGCAAAGCGAAGTCGCGACATGCATGTTGACTGCAGTTTCGCTCAGCCAGCGACCTGTGCAAGCGAGTCGCTCTGGAGGTCCTCGCAGGCTGAAAGCAGTGCAGTACCAGTTATGGACAGGACAAGGGAGAAATCCTGTATCTGGTCCATTCCCGACAGCAAGTATGGGGAATGCTTCGCCACGAAGTAGACCTGCAAAAGTGGCCATGCTAAGCCCGGATGCACATGCGCTTTCTGTCGCCTCCGAAGGGCGAGGGCTCGAGGCAAGAAATCGCTTCAGCTCGCTTTGCAGCTCCTCTCAGTTTGATGGCACTTCTCGAAGTCTTGGCACCTGTGAGAATCTCTCGGGTGGTCCTCGGAAAAGGGCACCAACTGTGAGCCATCTCTCCCCTCCTTCCACGGGCTGTTTCTGAACGCGTCCTGACATGTCCTGGCCCTGGCCTCGAAGCAGAAGCGAAGGTCACGCGGAAGGGCAAAGGCAGCGGCAGAGGGCTGGGCTCCGGGGAGCAGATAGGGTGGTCGGATCCTGACTTGCGCTGCTCACGAGGCTCCACCAGCTATCACCTGCTGAACGATGAGCCGATGAGCCTGACCCACCGATTGAAGCCACTCTTCTTGTTCCTCTGCGATGCTCCTCCGTGCTCCACCTGACACGACAAAGGCCCGCAAACATTAGGTGTGAGCCGGTCGGCCTTGTTGAAGTTGGAGATCACATAAGGGGACTGTGGCAGATCGACCTGATCCAAGCCCCGCAGACGCAGTGCAGTGCGGACCTGGCCTGGCCTCGTCAGGGCGCGGATTCTGCAGGAGGCTCTGGTACAGAGTTTGTTGCGCTTGCGGGTTGTAGGACTCGAACGACCTCAGGGACAGACCTGTGCCGTCTTGCAAATGTCGGCTCGGAACGTCTGAGCCACACGCGAATCATTCCAGAACTGGAATGTTATGTTCATCGCTCATGGATGTCTCTCATGGACTGGCTATGTTGCATCTGCTCAGTGAGGCTTTTGATGGAAGATCGGTGCCTGAACATGTTTGATTGAAAGCAACTTGGCACACACCCTTGCTGCACTTGTGTCTCCGTGAATGCGTAGTCTGAGCATCAAATTCTCCCGAGAAGCAATGACATCTCCATGGTTTGATCACGACAAAAACTCGGAAGCCCGCACAGACGCTGCGGGCTCCAACTTGCAGCCAAGTTGAGACGCCTCGACGCGGGAGAGCTTCAGAAACTTGCTCACCTGCTGGACGGGTGCTGGGGTGATCTTGCTCTGACTCTGATTTAAGGACAGGCCTTGATGTGATGCTGCGTGCCCTCACCGCAGTCGACGATTATGGCAGCTCCTAGACGAAATCTCATGCAGGCTTGCAAAGGCGAGAGTCCGTCAGCTGACATTTCATTACAATATCTTGCAAGCTGTCCTGTGTTCAGCATCACTGCTAGACTGGACCTTGGCCAAAGCTGGCCACACGGAACAAAGACTACCTCCAAATCCAAGCCTTTCGCGGTGCAGCACCATCCCATACATGGCCGAGACTGCGGCATGTTGCGCTGCCCAGGCACGGGCACTGCCGAACCAGTCCCCAAGAACATGACTCGGTCTATGAGCCTTGGCATGATGCTGCAAGATGCCACCCCGACAGAGTGGCTCTGGAGCGCAGGACAAGGTGTGACTCATTGAACAAAGATAGCGCAGGTCCTTTCAGTCGCCGGCGCCATCGATGGCTTTGATCGTTTTCGCCGTGAAGAGACAGCGGCAGTGCCTACTGCTGCATACAGTGTATTCGCAGAGGCATATCGGTACACAAGCCTGCGGCGCAAGCGCCGAGGACTCTCGGAACCTAGAAACGCAGCAGAGCGTTCGAGATGTCAGCGCCACAAAGTCTCTTCCGCTACCTCTGCTGCTTGACGCCAGTCGCGAGGCAGCAAGAGGCCTTGGCTTCTCATCGACGAAAGATCAACTCCGCAACGAGTTCTAAACGATGCACAGGCCCACAAAAAATTCTGTCCCGAAACGTAAGTTCTTGGCGCTGCCTTCGGGACGGTCGAAGCACAAGGCGCCGCAACGGGTTGGCAGAGGCAGGTGCAGACCGTGCACATCTGACTGCTTGTGCAGCCCTCTGACACGTTTCACCTCGTAGAGGGATCAAGGCTTGGAGCCTCGCTCCAAGACACAGGAATGGGAGGCGCATGGATCATCGCTCGCTACCCTTCTCTTCAAACACTGAGCCAGAGAAGTGCGAACATGGTTATGAAATGTCACCAGAACCTGCACAGCGGCTGCAATTCTGACGATACCTTTCAGGTAATATGCACATCTGTCGTGCCTCCCGCACTATTCTGAGTAGCTTCTTCTTCTGCTTCTCGCCTTCGGGTTGCTGTAGACATCTGTCGAACGCAGTGGCGAAAACAGACACGACCAGAAATATGCCGGTAATCAAAAGTTCTGCAATTTGCCCTTGCCAGCACAGCACGCGAGCGAGTTCTGACCAAGGCGAGTGCTAAACTGAGCAGCGAAGCTTTCTAGCTTCGATTCACCCAGCCTTCAGTAACAAATCTTGCTGAAATCAAGCTGCCGATGTTCCAGAGCGACCAAGTGCCCCACCGAAGTGCAAACTGGCCAATATTTGCGGAAGTGGCCTTCTCCACGCGTCGGAAATGTGGCACCGTTGGGACGTCAATGCACAGTTCAAAGCACGGCCTCGTCTGTCATATCAGTCTTGTACACATCAACGAGAATTCCGAAGAGCTTCGGAACATTCGCACCTGAATCAGGAGCTCAGCTCGCAAGCTCTACAAAAGACTGCTCGGTTGCTTCCTTTTCGGATGCAATTGTCAAGCTCAAAGTTCTGCATGCTGTTGGCTGGTCCACGAGAGCTCAGAAGACTGGAGTCTACTGGAAGTACACGAGATGAGCTTGGCTTCACTGTTCGGCCTCCTTCGCCAACCACTTCAGCCTTCTCCTACCCAAAGTCAAGAGCTGACTGGTGATTTTAACAGTTCCAACAGGACTGATGCAACTGATTGTGCTCCGAGTCATGAAGAAAACTTACAAAAATACACAAGTGTGGCAGAAAATTGCACACACCACAAGTGCATCGCTGACGGGAACATGACCGCACTTGTAATGCATGCCCTTCCGGCGTCCTGTTGAAGAAGCTCGAGAAGTTTGCGGTGGTTTCGGACGCCTTCAACATCATCCTCCTGGCAAGGCCTTGTGGACAGAGATGTAGACGCAACAACATCTGCTCAGCACTGCTGCCACTGCTCTGCGCTTCATCAAGCACAGCCGCAGTATCCGCAGTCTTGAATCCTATAAGAGCGAAGAGCCGCTGAGCTTCGAGCAGGCCACCCAGCCAAACATTCCATGCCTGAGCCTCTTGTCACCATGCTTGTCAGATCTTGTCAGCACAAAAAGCATCCCAATTTCTTGCAGCGTATGCCTGAACAGACGTAATTGCTTGCGGATGGGCGAGCAGGATCTCGACCTCATGCAACAGACTGTCACAGACAAGCCAGTGATTGAAGTCTAAGACCGTGGCAAGAGCAGAAAGCGCATTGTCGGCGCAAGCCTGAAGCGTACGGTGACACCACTGCTTGAGAAGTTGTTGGTTCAAGAAGCGAGCCCCGTCCGCCGCACGGTTGTCCTTTTATCTTTCTTCATAGACATGTTTTAGAAGCAGATTGACAAGTAGCGGACACGCTGAATCTGCAGAGGTGATGTTCTCGAAAGACTCACGGGCTTCCGACGATGCAAGCCAAACCCTAGCCCCAAACTACGCCACACAGACAAAGGTAACCATAAACCCGACTTCTCCACTTGGAAGCACTGGGTGTCCGAAACGTCGGACGACCCCGCCAGAAGAAGGGAATGCGCTCAACCCGAAACGTCCTAAAACCGCAACCCCAATGCATGATGCAACGGAAGCCCATTCACGAATCACGCACGAAGCTAGGTTAAAAGCGGAGAGCGCAACTACCCTTCATGCTGATGTTGAAGTGGCACCGCGGATTGGAGAGTCAGCATGTGGAAACTCTAGACTGGCCACACTGCTTTCGTGGCTCTCGTATGCTCATCAGTATTCAGTTTTGTGACAATGGCTCTCATTTTCATATGTTCTAAAGGATGACTTTTGGGCGCACTTGTGTAGCCGCTGATGCGTTGACACCCCTCGGCTTTCGTATCGTGACTGTTTGCGTGCCAGGGCCGGGCCTCCATAAGAGCACCGGTACACCGATTTGAACACGATTGCACATGTGGCAATGCAGGCAACAGCTTTTTTGCCCCCCAACGTGCCCTCCAGCGCTATCATGCAAGGACTGCCGTGCGAATCCGACAGGAAACCACGCCACGATGATGCCCATGGTGTCAGCCAGTATCTACGTTGTCGACAAGGAACGTGGTGGTCGCGGTGCTAGTGGTGGTTACGGTGGTCGAGGTGCTTGTTGGCGCTTGTGATGCTTGTGGTGCCGGCGGTCGTGGCGGTCCTGGCGGTTGTGCTGGTCGGGTCGCGGCTGCTTGTGGTTCTTGTGGTGTACTCGTGGTGTGCTTGGGGTTGTTGTGGTCACGGTGGCCATGGTGTTACACTACACACATGCACATACATGGATTTATCTTCCAACCGATTCCATACCCTTTGTTGTGTCAATCCTTTCTCTTTGTACATATCGGGAGTTTCATTGTACAGGTTCCAAACCTTCAGCAGCTTCGTCCATTTACATAATTATCTTCCCGTGAGCACCATGGATGTTTCCTTTCGAAACACATACACAGATAGATAGAGATATATATATATAACTATATATATATATGCTATATATATATATGTGCATATATTCATAATAATATATAGGGAGAGAGACAGGCAGGGATAAAAAACAAGAAGTGAGAGAGTGAGAGACATGTGACATGCCTGCAAAATCGACCGCCTGTGCAACCTTTTCAGACTTCTTCTTGGTTCTTTGCCTGGACTGGGTCACAACCTGTCAGGTTGAAGTTGCCCTGTCTGCATGGTAGAGAATGACAGCCTTGCCTGGGAGAGTTTGTTTGCTGCATCCAGGGCCAAAGGCGCGAAAGCCTTTCAAGACTTGCCGATTCATCAGGTGCAGGCATTACAAAGTGCTCTCGCCTGCAACTTTGCTGCCAGCGACACACCATAGCACCTAACAGAACTGCAAGGCAAGATGTGCTGAAGAAACCACCCTCTGGTTCGAGGACGCCGGTTGACGCAGATCTGCATCCGGGTGCAGGATGTCCTTTCCAAAAAGGCGGTAAAGAGAAAATGTCGCTGCAAGGTCAAGAGACAAGGAGACTCAAAACCTTCGAGACCAAACACAAGACTCGCATCTCTAAGGGTAAACATGTGCCTGCTGACACGAAACTGATGAAAGAATTCGAGATCAGAAACGACCAGAACTTGAGCCAAAAGCATTAGCAACAGCAATTCCTTTGTGCAATGAGCTAGCTCGACCAGTTCCGTTCTAAAAGTTAAGTTCGGCAACACACCAACACAACATGGTCTAGTTCTTTCCCTCGCGCAAGCAATCTACCGTGCGTTGAGACGGACGCGAGGGCATGGAAGAGTGAAGCTTAATTGAACTACACCATGAACTCGACAACGAGCTCCAAAAATGCAAACAGCATTGAAGCCATGTTTTTGGAATGCGCGAAAATTTGCAGAGGTTTTGACATGTTCGGGCTTTTCGGGAATTCATTCCGTAGCTCTGTGTGTGCATCTAAACCTGCGCTCAGTCACATATTTGATGATTCCGGCTGAACGGTGCTCAAACGTCAAAGCCGATTCAAGACTTCTTCATGCTACAGTGTTCCTGTTAGAAGCCGCCCTTGATTGTCGTTCTTGGGATTTGACACGCGTCGAGCCCACCCTTCTCGTCTGCTCATCTGGCAGATCAGCGCTCGAGTTGGACCAGTGTCATGGTTCGGGCCCCTGCAACTTTCACAGGGTGCTGCTATTCCATTGAAAGACTGAAACGAAACGCGTGCGATGGCGGTTTGGCAATATCAGTTCCAAAGTTGATGTGTCAATCCATGCCTCACATAGATCAGAGGTCAGCATCGCCCACCTCGCCCGTGGCTTCATTGATTCATACCGGTGTGGACGATATGCACTAGTTCCCAGGAACATCCTAACCACCCACTTCATCTGAATTAAACTGCTGAAACCGCAGGTGTACATGTAGTAACAATGATACGGAGTGGCAGATGTCTCCTCCACAAGCTTTGGCACAAACTGCGGCCATTGAGCAACGACCTTCAGACAAGTTCTCACCTTGATGCGCTGCTCTGTGCTTCACAACACTGCTAGACTCGGAACCAGACCTTGTCACCCAAGTGTTCAAGGAAGTCACAGATCACGAACCTGAAAAATTCGGAGGGACTCGAACTGGATAGTGGCCGGGGAAGCACACACGACAAAAGGCATTGCACTCCACACGAAACAAAACGATCAAGTGCAAAGGGGCCGCTGGTCACCTTAACAAGAGCGCCCTCGACACGACTGTTTCTGCAAATCACAGCCTTGAGCTCCACATGTCAGATTTCATCTCGCGGTCCTGTTTAACCTGCCACAGCGTTGCCACCCCTACAAATTGCTCCAGGCCGCCCCATCCGGGGTGTGCCCAACCAACCGAGCGGTGTCGTGAGGGTCCATCGAGGGCGGTCGCAGTGTCCACCTCTCAAATGTTGAGCCAATCTGGCTGCTTTGGGTCCATGGCGCAGTCGAAGTGAGTCTCATCCACGAGCTCAACGCACTTGGCAATCGATTTCGTGCATGAAAGCTTGAGCAAATTCGCGTCGTCGTCTCGGCCACGGGGGCAGATGCCAATGTTTTCCATTGGTTCATCTAAGGCAGGGGCTGCCAGTCAGTTCTAGTCTCGACGAAGAGCCTAAAATGTCGGCGAGCTCCACCCCCCGTCGCCAGTTTAAAGGCATCCCGTGCATGGTGTGTTCGGGCCGGTGAAGTCGGTGACTTCAGCTCTTGGAGCCAACGAGCAAGACACGGCGAAGTCCGTTGGGTCTGCACGTTCCGTGGGCGTTGGGCAGCTGTGGACAGGCAGTCAGCCTATGAAGATGGCGGAGAAGTCATATTCAAGCATGCATGCGGTCATCCAAGGCATACAAGCGATTGTGCCGCACCGGCGTGCTGTGTTCGCGATTGGTAAAGAACACACGACATCGCTGCGCAACATTGCAGTGCAGCAGCAGTTTCAATCATCTGATTCTGAGTCTGCGGCAACGCCAACTGTCTGTCTTCTTTTGCCGAACCAGGTTGGACCCATTGAACAACCTGGTATGTTTCGGTGAGTAAGACTTGAGTAAGATGTGGCAGGACCACATCTAGTTGCAAAAATGAGTAAAGCCGGCTCCACCAAGGTCAGATAGTCTGAAAAGCTCTCGGCGATAAATATGTCAGCATGGTGCCTCAGCCATGCTGTCGTGCAAGAGCTCGGTAAACTAAAACATTGCAGAGGCGTTCACTGCATCAGTGACCCTGCCACTTCACACATGGATGTTCGCAGTGCCTGCATGAAGAAAGATGCTCGGGGAAGATGCGGGAATCGATCGGAAGCGGCGGCCTGCTCGTCTTCTTCATCGTCATCATTGTCCTCTCCATCCTGCACAGCTCTCGTATCGTTGTGAGTTTGCCGAGCTTGCAAGAGTCTCGCAGAGCCGAACGTCGCACCTCATCTTGCTGCACTTGTGCCGGCCTGCCCTGGCCAGGGGACAGTGCAGCAACAGCAGATAAAATCTTCGGCGTCGCATGCTTTCGCTTTCGCTGTGATTCACTTTCGTCCACTCCGCAGACCTTAGCTGCCTCGGAGCGCCGCTTTAGCGACTCGGCAAGGGCACTAAGCGTTGTGCGGCCTCAAGACTCGAGGAGACTGCTGTTGTCTTGCCGAGTCTTTTCATTGAACCGTTGACGGAGAGAAACGCGACCGTCACGACCACGGGTTTCCCAAAGCAAGCTCCGGACAAATGTGACGCAACTGCTCGGCGTGGAGGATTCCAGGACCAGCTTCCCTGCAGTTCACTGCACATGCTGCGCACAGGTTACAATGCACAATCTGAAACATGGTGCACCTTAGACAAGCAGTCATTCCGTCTGCGCTGGTCTTGAGTTCGGCCACATCCACCTCTGAACAAGCATTCTCAAGCGAGCTAATCGCGTCTATGATTTTAAAACGCCCCTGCAGTATACAGAGGGTCTCGGCCGGTGACTTTCTGGTTTCGAGCCAGCCAATTGAAACTCAAGGAAAAAATTGAGGTCGACTAGGACCACTAATATCAGTAGTACCATTGCCACTGCAAGCTGCGAGGCGGAGTCGGGACTAGTGGTATCGGCGGCCACGACGGCTGATAGTACTACCACTTGCGGTACCAATGCCAGCCAGCACTCGGTTAGAAATACAACAAGGAGTTTACCCTATCAAACTTTCCCCTTCACAAGGCTTTCTCGGGACTGCAGGAACAGGGCAGTAGGGGCTGCAGGAACACAGACTGCAGGGACTGCAAGGGAACTGCAGGCTGCCAGAGTCTCAGGGCCGTAGAAGTGCAAGGAACTGCAGACTGCAGGGCAGTGCAACCTGCAGGTGCCACAAGAACGTAGAGTTACAGAGTCAGCGGGCTGCAGAAAGCCCATCCGGCCGAAGCCCTTGTTCGAGTTCAAGACGGGGCTGGGGTATGTAATGATGGCGAAAGAATTCCAAAACACCTCCTGCTCCCACGAAAAGCCTTCGCAGCTTCGAATTTCGGAAGCACTCGCTTCAGAAACTCCATAACGAGTTCATTGACAATCTGAACCTGCTCGTCGCAGTCTTGACAATTCGTGTTCGCGCCAGTTTCAACACGGCTGCTAAAGCACGCGCCTGACCACCTTGTCGCGCGCTGCGACACAGCTGACCCCATGTCTCGAATGCCAGATCCCTCACAAGTCAGATGGAGTTGACTCGAGACCTGACCTTTGACTAAGAGCCCACTGCCTGATGCCATCCTCCATGCAAAAATCAAAGACCGGAAGCAAGGCCTCACGAAGTGAAACAAATGTTGAAAACAAACGATACCCGCAGAGCCGGGAATTGCCTTGGCTGTCTCTCCCACAAACGGGGCATACGCAGCTGCGAGCTCTTCCACGAACCTCTGAGATGACATAACTGAGAATGATTTTTCTTTTCGACTGTAAGCGATCTTGGGGCTGGAACGTATGCACACACTCCAGTGCTGCTTTCAGGTCCTGCAAGCGCATGGGGCATCATTATGGCACTTGAACTGATCGACGTTATGATGGTCCTGGATTTCGGATGAATACATGATCATAACTTTGACCTGCGTGTCAGATTACATCTCAGATCGTGAACCGACAGCCATAGGCTCATCGCCGACGTCGAACCTGCCCATTTTCTTGCATGAGCGTCAGATTTACTTCATCGTTGTCATCGACCTCGTCCCCACCGGTGAACTCCTGCCGTGAGGCTTGGCTTCGGATATGGAAGAACACTGACGCGGGCCATGCCGGAAGCACCCTCGGGGCCAGCGTGAACCTCTCCAGGACTCCAGGCCTAGGCTGTCGGAAGTAGCCCCTGCAATGCAGCTGTGAGCCAGGGTCTGACCCCTATTCAAGTTCCACATTCACGAGCTAGGCCATGCACAGAATGTGCGACACAAACGGCAGAAAGTCTTGCTTCATCGTTGCCTTTCCAGTTCGAACCCAAGATCTCTGACTCGGTCGGAACAACTCATCTGATCACTCTCTGGCCTACCTGCACCTCAAACCTGCCAATGACTGACTCGATTCTGGGTCGGCGACACAGATTCTCTCTGATGCGGCCATCATGTACTCCTGCGACCACATATCACGAGTGCAAACCTAAAGGATCCGAGCATGCCAATGCGATGCCACTACGATCCCTACGATTGTTACTCGCTTGCCTGCAACAGTGGCAAGCGCGGTGGCAGCCGTTTGTTCTGCTTGCTGCTGATCTGGCCTACTGTCAAGACCTCGCTCCTTGACAGGATCGTTGGTGGGCAAGTTCGGGACCTTTGTGGCCTGGATCATAGCCTGGTCGGGGAGAAGCTCAGCAAAGCCAAGCGCAAACGAGGCTGCTTGGTGCCTGCATGATCTGCTCGGCATCTGCGCGGAATCCATTCCGGCCGACTGCCTGAATACCGCTGGGGGGGAGGAAGGGGGCGGCGCGAACCTGTGGCAGACTGAGGAAACTCGCAACCAGTCAACAGCTGCAGAGGAGAACGGGGAGAGACATCGACATTCAGAGCGGGGAGAGGCGCTGCCGAAGACTCACATGCTGGCAACGTCAGAGTCAGTCAAGCTCGCAGTGCTGGCAAACGAGTTTATCAGCTGCATGATGCTGCACTCGGATTTACATGAACGAAATTTCCTGTGCGTTAGACACGAACAGCTTCCGCACCCCCGCGAGGAAATCATGGCGACAGCCGTTGCTGAGGTCTGCGATCTGAGAAGTGTACGCAGCACATGCTATTGCACCGTGCGGGCATTTATATAATGTGCGTGTGCATGTATACATGTATGCAGAGGATCTATATTAACAGCTGCTGTCTGCGGGACTATAGGGTGGATGTGCCGGGGAGGGCATGCATGCATGGATGTATGTATGTATGTGTGTGTGTATATGTATGGGGCTGGACCCATTCGACATCTCAGGCATAGACTCTTGCCAGGAGGGAAATGCATTCAAAGCATTTGCCCAACAGCTGCCGCTCCTTCAAAATCTTGGTCCTAATGACACAGGACTCAATCTTACAGCAGATTCGATGCTCTCCTCTGTCTTGTGCAAAGTGTTCTCGATGACCTGCCAAAGCGCCAGGTAGCTGCGAGGCTCTCACAGCATCGTGCACACCATACGTACACACTTACATGCTTCTGCTCTTTTGGCAGAACTACTCCCACCACACCCTGTGCGCAGGGGAGCAGGATTTTGTCGGGCATGCGGGTCTGTAATAAGATGGTCGTGGCCTGCTTCAACAAAGGCATAAGATGTCCGTAGTATGGAGCGAAGGCATCGTCGACCTGGCCAGCAAGATGCACACAGTAGGACCACTGGAAGCACAAGAAGGCCTGTCCAGCAATGACTGCGATGAACGTAATCGCCTTTACGCAGGAAGCAGCTACCAGTAGGAGTATGTGGCGTGTTTGTCTTGTTCCCGACGTGCCGGCAGCCTTCTTCTGTCTTTTTACGTTGCCTTGCAGTTTGGAGCCAAGCTTCTCCATCATGGGCTGGACGAAAGGCTCCAGGTCCTCTACTCATCTCTGCTCCGGCAGAAAAACAAGTCTTGGTTGAAACAAGCAGCCAGTAGGCACGCTAGGGGTTACGGAGGAGCGGGGCAGCTTTGCTCTCATTGAGTCCTCACTAAACACACACCGCCCATGTGGATTTTCTGCCTGTCCTCGCGCTCCACAGACTCACCAAAGTGCTGGAAGGCCTTGCGGGTCCATGAACACCACTGGAATAAAGGATACAAGTAGCCTGCTGCAAGGCCTCCATGCAGCGAAGGCACACTCGCTCGCAGGTATCGTCAAGACCTGCTAGACTTGGCCCGCAGCATCACGGCTTCTGATATGTGCATCACAGCAGCCTTTTAAGAATTCTGGGAGCAGCTGCGATGTCCAAGCCTACATGCGAGCAGCGGCGCGAAGCAAGGCGAAATTCTGTGCTGCAAGTGTCTAGAGTTCAACTGAAAAGGAAGGTCGAGCCTCTGAGTTGAGCACATCTGTGTGATCCTGACAGGCTGTTGTGCCCTCTCGGGTTGACGACTGTTCCAGTGGCGACACAACTTCTCGACAAAGCACTGCTCCTCTGAAAACTGTGCAATTGCACCCCAGGCCGTGTAGCGAACTCGCCTGGCTTTTCAAAGCACTTTGGCCCAAAGTTTTGGTGGTCTTACACCCTGCACGTACTGCACCTCCATCAACCTTCCGCAAGCAACTTCGACCACTGCCGTCGTAGTCCTTTTCTCACAGCCTACCCACTTCACGTTGAACAACCTTGTCATCGCGACAAGCTGCCTGCAAATAAATGGCAGGCAAGAGGTCCGCTAACTCTAGAACGTGGAACACTGACGCCATCAGGCAGGACGTCTTCAAACGTTAATTGCCGAAGTGCTCTCACATAGTGGTAGCACCCGGGCAGCCCACACAAAGTTTTTTGACCGGTAGCGTAACTGCCAAACATAAACCCACACAAGCGCAGCAAATAATAACAAAAGAATGGGATGACGATCGCTCAACGCATCAAGAAGTCTCTCAAGCCCCCGAGCGGACCTTCATCCGGTGTCTCACTGGGTGCGGTCTCCGCTGAATCCGCCGGCTCACTTTCAGTCTCTGTCTCGGGCACCACGTCCTCGGAAGAGATTTGCTTAACGGACAAACAAAGAAGCGACTTCTGAGCTGGCGTGTTTAGGTTCTTCTGCTCGGATGCTAGATTGCTCAATGCTCGCTAGGCACTGCTGGCTCCGCGTCATCCTGCTTCTCCACGGCTGCATCTGGCATTGTCAACATGACGTGCGCCCCCGTCACATTCTGTCCAGGTCGTGTTCGCACTTTGACGGCCAGTCCCGGAGCAGCCTCTTGCCTAAAGGATTCACTGAAATCAGATCTTCCCAAGAACCCATCTGCCACATCACCATCCGGTGACTTGACTGCTACCACGGCATGCGTTGGATAAAGGCGAAAAACTTCTCCGTCAAGATCACGGTCCGAACCGATTGACATAAATCTAGACATAAGCTCAGGGGTGTTTCTCGGTAATTTGTCGCCGTCCAGGCTTCGACGATACAAGTCGCCAGATCGCCTGGTAACATAAACCCGCTCGCCATCCACCTTCAGCACGCGAACTGAAGTTTTCTTGCCGACTTTCAGCTTTTCGAAAGCTTTTCGATCGTGGCCGTCTCCACACTCCTGCCAGTCCATGTAAGCAGGTCGGTCAACCCCCACGTCCAGGAAGATTGCCGGTCTCGGACCTCGAAGAATGCTGTCCACCGTCCCTGGCAGCGTGTCCCCCACACTGATGTCTTCTGGTCGTCTCGGATCGCGCATGCTTACGACCACCCGCCGAGTCCTTGCTGCATTCTTCCGCCGGACTTGAATCTTGCTGCCAATCCGAAGTTCCTTCTCTGCGCCTTCTGCAAAGTCCTTGCGTGCCAGATCTGCAATTGTCGCCTTGCTGGGATCAGAAGGACTCACAACTCGCAGATAGGCATTCTGGAAGTCAAAGCCGATGACCTCGGCGTCCACCTTCTCAGAGATGTCCAGCTTTCCCATGATGGAGCGATCGACCTTTAGCCCTTCATAATTCGACCTGTCGCCGCTGTCACGACATGTGACTTTAAGCGTGTTGTTGGTTTGCAGCACGCGAACTTTGATTGTGGAGTTCTTTGCTGGGACATCTTCCGGAAAACCCTCGCAGATCTCACTGGCAGGCAGGACGGCCTGGCAAGAAAACACTTTTGATTGCACGAAGGCCAGCAAGCTAGTAGCAAGCTGTACGCTGTCTCAGGGCCTTGACTCCATCAATCCGCAGAACCAGCCCTTTGCCATATCTCCCAGTCACAGCTCCTTCCACTTCGTCACCGACTTGGAACTTGGATTTTCCTCCCGAAAACTGTTAATGGTCGTCCAGCCAAGCAAGCTGAAAACTACCATGCCGAATCCCGCACCTGGTGCCTTCTTGGCCTTCTTGTTCCTCAGTGCTTCTTCTCTTAAACTTGGAGCATGGCACTGCCAAAAATTAACTGTTCCGCGCTGAGGCGCTTTTCAGCGCTCAGCTTTTCAAAGTCCAGAGCTGCCAAAACTGCAGAAGACACCCTCCTCTCAACACGAGCAGCGCTAGAGGTCAGAGTCAAGAAAGCAAAACAGTAAAGCGTTGTCCCTGGCTAGCTGCATGCGGCTGCACTGCAAGTCCTCTTGCATTGGTTGAAGGTACTGCCACCTTTCTTCACCTGGCCCTCTAAGGTCGTTGTGAAGTTCTTCAAGCAAGGCAGCTCAATCGATGCCTGAGCGATCAACATGTTCAAGCTCGGCAGTGATCCCGAGTCCTGTTGCAATGCTGCCAGATGACTTCATAGCGCCAGATGAGGTCTCTGTTTGTCGGCTTTCTTCCTAGGAGCTGCGTCAGGTTCTGCAGCAGCTCCAGCTCCGGGTCACTTTGGGCCGTCTTCTGTCCATCAGAGACTCAGAGACTCATAGGCTTCAGAGCTCTCAATTCGCGAGCTGAGTAAACCTATCTTCCGGGCCTGCGCCGACATTGCTATTGAAGATCGCACGGGTGCCGAGATGGCTCCTGCGCAGAAGGCCTCCTGACAACCAGAGCCGGGCGGGCAGCACCAACTGCTGGAAGGGGTCCAAGAAACAATTAGGAGGAGCTCCGTAAGTCAAACGAAATCTGGAAGAGCTGAGCCAGTCCATGCCTACATGACTGGCAACCTCTCGCAAGCAGTGCTAGCAGTGCAGCACGAACTTAAGCCCAAAGCCTAAACGGGCGAAGGTGTTTCTTTCCCTGGTGTGACTTCGCTACGATCTAGGAGGAGGCGAAATCGAGGGACCGCAGAATTGCGCAATCACTCCTTGGCTTGCCACAAAAAAGATGACCCTGCAAAGTGCTATTTTCCAAGGGCTTTCTGCAAGACCCGGCCCTGCCAATTGCAACTTGTCAATGCATCAGCTTGCATGCAGCCACAAAGCAGGATGGGAACGATTAATCCATGACTAGGTTGTCGCACAACACGAGAATGGAGATCGGGGGCCTCCAAAGGGAGCCCACCTAGCAAAACATGCTCCGGGACCAGAGGACCCTGCAGACGCGTCGGAAAGACGATAACCCGCCTAAACGGTCCTAGCAAAAATCCCAAATTGCACAACGTGACTTCGTTTCCGGTTCCCATCAGTGTCCTGCGTCATCTCCAAGCCCAGTTGAAGCAAGATGGACAGGCTGCCGATGCAGAGGCAGCGTGCAAGCAACCCAGACTTGGACCTAACGGCTGGCTGCCATGCAACGCTGTGTCTTGCTTGGCAGTCAAGGTTTCAACACTACGCTCTCAGGCAGGAGTGAGTGTATGGAGATTAGAGAGAGGGAAAGAGAGAGAGAGAGAGAGAGAGAGAGAGAGAGAGAGAGACAGCGAGATTGGAAGGCAACTCAAAGGGTCCTTGAGGCACAGGCCTATAGAGCCGCGTACGGTGGCAGTCCATTCTAACCACAGCCATTCCGCAAGTGGCACAGCTTAAGAGATGTGGCAAGACACTACATGCAGTGAAGTAGAAAGACCCGCCTCCGAGGCTCCAAATTCTGTCAATTCTGCTATCTACTAGAGGGTCAGCAAACGAGCAGTGTCCATCCGTCGCTGTTCGTATCCGTCGCTTGGGCCGAATCTTGCCAATGTTTATGTTGCAAGTCTCCTCAGCCTGTAACATTCTGTAACTGTAACTGGCTCCAGCAACCTCATCCCGTGCAATCGGCCGGGGGAACGCGTGAGTCGCTGCCAGCTGCATCTTAATGCCCTGCAGCATCTGGGCCACAGTGGCCTGGCTCCCAAAGATTTCCAACAGTGGCGTCTCGTGTCATGTTGTCGGTTGCATCGGCTTCTGGCCTCATCATCCACGTATTCCGCAATCATTGTAAGGGTGGAAACGCCAGCGACAACCTGGCAAGATGCTCGCTTGGGCCATTCTTTCGGTATCTTTTCGGACTTGCGAAGCCTGCTTCCAGTCACCTGTCTGGAACAACTTCGCCACAGCCTGACCAGAAGTATCTTCCGCAAGTCCCAGCACGTCCGCGCATGAAGCTCAGGAATCTAGAATCGCTTTGATGAGCCACCTGCTTCAAGGCTTCGAGCATCGGCAGGAATGCATCTACCTCCAGCCGGGAATGCTGCCGAGAAGAGCTCTGATCGTGGCTCAAGCACATGGAAAAAGGAGTAAAGCCAATACTACTGCTACTGCTGCTGGTACTGCTAATACTACAACGACGACGACGACGCGGACGACTACTCTGCTGCTGCTGCTGCTGCTGCTGCTGCTGCTGCCGCTGCTGCTGCCGCTGCTGCTGCCTCTGCTGCTGCTGCTGCTGCTGCTGCTGCTGCTGCTGCCGCGGCTCCTGCTGCTGCTGCTGCTGCTGCTCCTCCTCCTCCTCCTGCTCCTCCTACTACTACTACTACTACTACTACTACTACTATTAGCCACCCCCGCCCCCTACCAACTA